TTTTCAAGGCTTTTTTAAAAGACTGCTTTTAGAGGCCATGCTTATCGAACGAACGAAAGACATCATGGACCGAATTTGAGAGTTTCAAGAAGCAAAAAATCGCGAGATAACGCTGGATCGTTGAGAAAATCGAGATATAAATCAAGCAACAAGTCACACGTATTTGTATCGAGGAGTCCGATGTCTACCAAGCGTACTCACCTTAGAATGTAGACTTGAACCTTCCTCTCGGTTCGTATTTGCGAGGCCATTCTTCGCTCCTCGCTTGTTCAACACCAATTATTTCGTCCGTTTTCGCTTCGATTTCGATATACTTCGTCCACAATACACTTCAATGTAATACAAACACATTACTTCTATTTAAACTATAATACTCTGGAAAAAATGTACTTTAATAAAGCAATTTCTCTCGCATGCAAAATGCTCGCTTCGCGGCGGCCATTTCGCGTGCAAGTGAAGCCTACCACATTTCCCATGATGCTTAGCTATAATTGATAAAAATATCAAGATATTTTTGAAACAATAACACGAATTATACACGAGGCCTGACGAGGCTAAAGTATGCCCGTTCGCAGGTTAGATGCGGGCACGATGTAAACAATCGATATAAACGAATCGCTGATTGGCTTAAATTGGCTTAAATTATATAAGCTCGTCGCTGAATGGCTACGTGCTAACATACGGTACGGTACGGTACGGTATGGTACGGTACGGTACGTTTGCGATAGCATATATATCTGCTTCGCAGATACAAAAAGGTTATCCTTCGAAAACCTTAAACTCTAAGCACGCAAAGAGTTGGGTTTAGGGCTTTTGATTTGGCAAATAATCCTAGTACGCTGCTATAGTTGTACATTATACTGCTTATGATCTATCTATCTTGTCATAGTTACAATACAAAATCCGCAAGTTTTAGGCCTAAGGCTAAGCAAGATAGGCCGGTAAGCAAGATCTCGCTCACACTGTGTAGTTATTTTTATAGTAAAAATTGCTGCGCATTTATATAGACAAGCGGGCTGCCAGATTGCCGAGATCTTGCTCGAAAAGGCGAGATCTCGCTTACAGGGATGGAAATTTCTGCATATAAACACTCACGAGCGGGCTATAGGCCGTTTTCCAGGATGAAAGTTCAAATATACCGCCGCAAGCTATTTTTAACTTACTGTCAAAACAATAAAATATATCAAACAGAATAACAAAATTGTCCCGGCAAGCGGGATGAATTTTTCTCATATAAACACAAGAGAAATTCATCCCGCATCTCGTACTGTTTGCAGGACAGTCTGGCTTCTATATATGCATGAACAGGCTACGAAGGCATTACCGTATTGAGGCACTCGAATGTATATGAAATTAATACTGGCAATTTTAAACTGGCCTTGCCCTTTGGCACTCTCTGTATATTTTTTCCCGTTTGTCTGAGTGTCTGACTCGTGACTCACTCGTCTCTCAGAATATGATCGAGTAATGATATCCATCTTCTCGTTGAAATTCTTCAGCGCATTCTCACTCCCTGTACTTGTATTGGCTATTATTTTGTTTTCTAAGGAGCTTGTTTTCCTCTACGATATTTTGCAACAACAAAACATACTGGTCCAGTCATATCGAAATTACAGCTAGCAAGTATCGAACTGTGACAGCTATAAAGGCCAGACGTTTATTACACTGACCTGAAAGGTCAAGTGTCTTAAATCCCTAGTTTTCTGTTTTCTCCTGGGTTTTTTTCGTCGTCGAGAAATCGAGTTTGCGTTCGCGCATCGCAGGCTCAGGGTGCAACGATTAATCCAAAATGCCATCGATTCTTCGACTCCACGATTCATATATAATAGTAAGAAGCTTGTATTTATGTACGTAATAGTCGGCTCATGCCATGCTTGTGGTGCATTTTTCGTTTATTAGCCCATATATAGACTTATATGGACTTATACGCACGCGCACAACTCCAATGGTGACATATTCAGTCCAGTTTCAAAATGGCGCCTTTTGGCTGAGTGATCAGAACAGTGGCGGAAACTTTGCAAAATTTTGGGGGGGCGAGTGCCGAAGGCACGAGATATGTAGGGGGGTCTGGGGGCATGCCCCCTCCAGAAAATTTTTAAAATTTGGATCCCTGAAATGGCATTTGCAGCATTCTGAGAGCACATTTATATGTAAGAAATTCCAGGTTTTCAAAACATTACAGTAAGTTAATGGTGCATTCTGGTATAAATCATGTGCTAAGCATAAAAAAACAACGTTTCAGAGAAAATATTCTAGATCATTTCAAAAATTTGTGAATGGAATTGCAAGGTGGTTTAATTCATAACCAATGACAATGTAAAATTTATTCGCTAAGTGTGTGACCTTGGAAACGTTAAATCAAAATCCGCTGTATCAATATTCATCAGTCTATGTGCAATTCTATTGTTGATTATTGAACAGTCCTATTACCTTATACACCATAGCAACGTCAATCGACCTACCTAACTTGCAGTACGTAATAAATATTTAAACCAGAGAAGTGAAACACCTGAAAATTCCTACCTATGGATACTGTATAGTCCGTTGTAAATTTGATACAATTAATTGCTATTGTTTTATGAACACTCGGAAGATACTCTATATTATATATGCATGCATATCATAAATTTAGAGCCTATATACTGACGTAACTGGACACAATTAAGGTTACATCATATGATAGATTCCCGTTTCAGTAAAATTGTCACTGCAGTGCGACGAATGCTCGCTGAATTTTTAGTTACGTTCCTCAAATTTGGTACATGCAATGACAACTAACTGTAGAAGCTACTGTTTTAGCCAACATTCACCACCTTTTAATCTGTAGTCGCAAAACTAATTTAATTTGACATTTTTCAGAATTCATAACGCTCATTGTGTGACTTGTCAGATTATAAATTTAGAATACTTTAGCTTGTTTTTAGCTTGTTTTTATTAAAACTTGCCATTTCGTTGCTGTTGTTAATTGTAACAAATAGTGCTTCCTTATATCGTGCTTTCATTTTTCAAAATGAAATCTAGCTAAATATAATTTTAGTAAAATTTTGGGGGGGCGATTGCCCCCCCCCCTCCTCAAATTTCACACAGTTTCGTTGAATTTTCAAAGAGTTGTGCCGGTGTCACAGGAGATTCGCCCCCCCAGGAGATTCGCCCCCCCTCTCAAAAGGGGGGCGATATTCCTAGGATATTCGTCCCCCCGGGGCGAATCTCCTAGGAATATCGCCCCCCTGGGGGGCGAATCTCCTAGGAATATCGCCCCCCTTTAGGAATTTCGCCCCCCCATATAAATTTTGAATTTTTGATCTAAAAACAAAACGATTGCAAGTTGAAAAGATTTATTGTGTGATTTATTTATTTATTACAAGCTTGCAAATTTTATCAATACGAGTGTTAACAATAGCCGCCACAGTAATCACTTGCTAACAATAAACTATAGGATTAGTAAAAAATCCATGGAATGTGTTGGGAAGCGTATTGACTATATTGTCCGTTGAATCGTCAACTTTCCGTGTCAGTGATATAATCTTAATTCTTCACTTCCGCAAAGAAAATTGCATTATATATGTGGTGTGGTTTATTCAAATCATTTCATGATACTTTGATTTTATTAGTGCATGCCTTAAACATTTGAGAATGTAACTCTGCAAAACTAAAAGCTTTCTTGTCTTTTTTGAAACGTATATTATTGGATTATTGCCTATTGGCAAGTTCTACCCTTCGCTTCTGGGCAGGGCCGTCGCGAAAGGATATGGATTGGGGGGGTGTCGAAGGTCAAATTGCCGAGTGACGCTAGTTGAATTTGCCGAGTTTTTCAAAAATTTTGTTAACTTTATGCCACATTGTGTGCATGTCGCGACCATTGATGAGCCATTATTTAATGTACAAATATATACTATCCGTATTGTACACACCAGGAATTATTTATTAATATACTGTTCCCTCAAAAATAAATATGTTGATATACAAATGAAACTAAATTGTTAGAGTATTTGATCAGTACATTTAGAGTATATTACAAACGTATTAGTATATTTATCGATACTCGATCGAGATACGTTCGCCATTTGCAAGTTTTAGTGTATACGAACTCGTCTCTTCTTCAACAGGCTCCACTCTTTTGCAACTTTTTCCAAGTCAAGAGTGTCTGTAAGGTCTTTCTCGCAGGTTAAAAGCATAAGACCAGTCAGCCTTGAGTCGTTCATTGACGTACGTAGTTTGTTCTTCACAAACTTCAATTGACTAAATGAACGTTCGTTTGAAGCCACAGTCACAGGAGCCGTAAGCATCAATCTGACTGTCGAATTTGCCAATGGAAGGGACATTTTGTTGGCTTCGTTGACTTCAACCACCTTGTTATAGTCTTTGCCAACGTCGGAAGGTAATAACTCTGCCAATACTTGTAATTCGGCTTCTACAGCTAATGGGTCAGGTGATTGTGCAGGTGGAAATAATGAGACAGCGGAATGAATGCACGATACATCGATTGGTGGCTTCAAACACTTTAACAAAGGCAAAATGCTCTTCTTACACTGCACCAAGTGTTCTCTCATTCGGGATGTTAGAACATCAAGGACCTCGCGAAATTGATTTCTGTAGTAGGCTCGAAGTGAAAACTTGGTGGCTGTTCCGGCTTGCTCATCCACCCGTCCAGGTGCTCTCCTTGGGCGATGATGACGGTTGAAATCTGCTTCCGCGTCAATTTCGATGTTTTTGGCGAAGATTACGGATGCTTCAATTTGATCGTCCATCATTTTGTCGTCATCTCGTAACTTTTGCATGATGCTTAGCGTTCCATCAACAAGGCCTGTTGCATCCAAAATATTGAGCTCAACTGATTGCAGCTCCACCACCAGACTTTTCGTTTTATACGCAATGTTTTTCATGAACATCAGTGCAACAACAAAGTCAAGCGAAAGCATTTTTTTCCTTAAACCAAGTGCTTGCGTTTTGGTTTTTGCATCTGCTTTGCTGGTAACCGCGTATAAGACATCCAGAATCACTTCAAATGATGTCCAGACAGCTTGAATACTCCCCGCCCTTGCACTCCATCGGGTTTTGGACAGGTTTCTGAGCATCAGGCAGTTCTCGACCTTGGTAATTTCATCTTTCAGTGGCTGGAACCGTTTCGTACTAGATGTGAAGAATACATAAAGTGCCTGCAGTATCTCAAACATTTCCCGGACAATGGCGCTTGCGTTACAACTATGCTCAATTACGGTGTTGCAGCGGTGTGCTTGACATGGTATGTAAGGAATATTGCGTCCAACAAGCTCGGACAAATTCTTCTGGGCACCATTGAATTCACCAGACATTGCGGCGGCGAAGTCGTATGACTGAAAACACAGGCCATCGGTATTCAAACCACACCGCTTTATCGTCGACAGGATGTCTTGTGCTTGTCCAAGACCGGTCTTGTCCTCCGTCTTCGAAAGATCCAGCAATCTTTCAGTTGGCTTTCCAGTGGCGCTGACATATCTTAGAACAACGGAGAGTCTGTCCGTGTGCTCTTCGTCCGGAGTAGTATCTGCCATAACGGAAAACATACCCGCACATTTAACTTCTTCTATTACTTTTCCTCGCAGTTCCTTTTCAAGCAACATGATGAACTCATTCTGCGACTGAGGACTTAAGTAGGTGACGTGGTACGGGTTCAGCCTTTTGTCAGTTAGCCACCGTTTTAAGTTTGGTACATGTCTG